TCTTGGTGACTCGCTCTCATGGCCCTGGAAGAGAGCATTGCTTTGTATCATAGTCACTAGAGCCGGCTTGATCTCGAAATTGTTTGCCGCCACCGGAGGATGTAGGATCGGCGATTGAATGTTCGCAGCCTTGGGTCCATGTAGTACCCCATCGTCCTTGGGGCTCCTTCTTCTCCCGCCTCCTCATTCATATGGTGGGCTTGAGCGGCTCCATCTTGCCTTTGGATCCCCGCCATTTCCTCTTCAATGACGGGCTCAACTTCCACTTCTTCAACTACTTCTCCACTAACACTGGGACCCAATTGTTGTCCCCCTCTTTCACTCCTTCTCCTTGCCTCGGCTAGCTCTCGCTCCCTTGCTAGGAGTCGGAGAGTTTGGTTTATGTCCTCGTCAAGTGGTAGCAAAGGCGCCGGGTTGCTCCGGGTCATACACCTCATACACAGAATCCAAAATTTCCAAGTCTAACACAAGCAAAGAACACATACACACTTGCAAAACTTGAAATTAAAAGCTAGATTAACAACCAACAACTTTTTCAGAATAACAGACCGTTGTCCCCGGCAACGGCGCCAAAAACTTGACTCGCTCAAAACTACACCACAATTAAACGCCAATTAGAGCCCAAGTTTTTAAACTCTAATCGGGTGCAGTATAGGGCAAGTATCTATATATCGACCCGGGTCGGTCCGTCTACCCCTACTTCGGTTGTTGAAATCATTATCAAGCGATAAAACTTTGGTTTAAAGGTTTGCCAATTGAAATGAAAGAAAACAAAGGTACTTTGGTTTGAAAACTCTTCCGTGGGAAAGTCATTTGGGTTTCGCTTCCCCCTAATCGCTGCCATGCTACGTGGGTTGGAACAATTGCCTTGGGCGAGTTAATGGTGAACCTCAGAGGAAAGCTTATGTAGTCGGGGACCACAGTCTCGATTGCTAAACCGAGGTGAGGACAAAAGTTCGTGTCACTCGACCCTTTCGATTTAGACAATTGGTAATTGGCTTACTTCCTCACTCAACTCTAAGGTCGGACGGTTTAACCACGATTAATCGACTTGTTCAATTCAATATTAAGGATTGCCCTAACTCAACCTAGTTTAGGTGGCTTGGAAAGCGGAAGAAAAACCAACTCGATTGAGTCTCCCTTAAAAAGGGGGATTTTCCTCTCTAAACTAGGCTAAGTTGGAAAATTAGATTATTAGCACCTAAATGCACAAACTTAGGGGGTGCTAAGCACAATTATGCACAATCCCTAGGATGCTAAACACAAAATATGCACAACCCCTAAGTTGCTAAGCACAAGCATGAAAAATCATGGTGAAAAATACCTCAAACATTAAATTGAACAATGCCCAATATCAATCATCCAAACCACATACAAGAAAACTACATTGTAGGGTTTAGGGTTTCACTACACCCAAGTGGAAGGAGGACTACTCCATTGAAGAAGTGGGAAGAACAAAGGGGGAAAAGGTGGAAACCATCTTTTTGGGGATGCCTCCTCTCTTCTTCAACCTTGAGCTGGGTTTCCTTGGGGAAATCTTCCCAAAACCTCCTTTGAAGCCAAGCCCTAACCTATTCTTCTCTTTGGTTCTGTTTCTCTCACTAAAATGCTGAAGAAGGTGTTTCTCTCACAAAAGTGGCTCCCCCTCTCTTCTTCTTGTAGCTCAGCTTTTAAACCCGAGAAGAGCTGAGTTCACGGCCTGAGTTCACGGCCGTGAACCATCAAACGCGTCAGTGAACTCACGCCTTGCACCAAAAAGCTCCGCATCAATCACGGCAGTTCACGGGCAACTGCTTGTGTTCACCGTCTTAGTGACCGTGAACTCGCCTTGCGTCAGTAATCTTCAACTTGGCTCTGGACGCCTTGCGCTTCACCGTCAACTCCCCTTCTTCACGGTCTTGCACGACCGTGAACTCCTACCTTTAGCCGTGAACTTGCTTTTTTCACCTCTTCTCCCGGTTTTCGATCCTTTACGCCAATCCTTCGACTACGAGGCTGGTTCCACCTGTTAAATCATGAAAAGCACTCAAACACGAAGAACCTCGCGTAAAACCAACCTCTAATGAGCCGATTTGGCACAAACATCTAAGCAAACCGTGGGCAACATATGTGCAATTAGGCCCGAATCACAGACTCCATATCCCCCGCCGTTGCGCCCATCGGCGGTGGAGTCCCGAGACTTGCCCCTGGCGGTGGTGGCAGAACGATGGGGGTGGAGCCAATGGTTGCCCATCTGTATGGTGATTCTCCGGCTGGGTGTGGTACACGTCGCCCTCCAACCACCATGAGCTACAACTGTCGTTTGCTTCTGGCTTTTCAACAAAGTGAGATGAAAATCATAGTGGAGATGAGATCCCAAAATGGGCTACACGCCATGGAGGAAGATGAGGGCCAGGAGTGAAAGTTAGGCCCACAATTTTTGCTTTGGATTGTACAACACCTGAAAATCGGAGCCCCTTAATTCCCAGCCACGTCTAGGGATGACAAAAATATCCGTAACCGTGGATATTCGCCCGAATCCGACCTAATCGGGTAGGGTAAAACCCGAACCTGAAGGACTTTTATTGGGTACGCGTAAAACCTGAACCCGAATATTGCGGGCATTGGGTGGGCATGGTTTTCTCACTATCCAACCCGAACCCGCCCGATTATACACATGCATATGTATTTTGTCTACAAATAATCAATATTTTTCTCTAACATATTTAGTATTTAGCATATAAATATAATATTTTATTAAATTGTGTTATTTTAATTAATTTTCTTTGCCTAAATTACACGTTTGGTCACCCAAATTACATAAATCTTTCACGTTTGCCACCCGAATCACTTTTCTTTCTTATTTGCCACTAACTTTACGAATTTTTTCACTGTTAGTCACTGGCTGTTAGTCTACGTTAACTCTGTCATTTTATTGATGACATGGCAAACGGAACTGCTGACTGGATTGTTAACTTAATGATATGTTAATTTAAAAAAATTAAAAACTTAAAAGATTAAAAAAAAGAAATAATTAATCAACACCCATCCTCATCCATTCATCCTCTCGCCCCTCGAGCTGCTTCCGCCTTGGGATTCGACTCGTCGATGATCTCCCCATCGGTTTCTGCTATTGCCGCAACGTCCTCGTCTGTGAGCTCTATGTTCTAGCTGTTTCCTCTTATCCAGTCTCCAAGTCTTCGGCTCAATCACCACCGATTCCACAGCCGCGGCAGCTAGAGGCCGTCTCTGCTTGCGATTCCGAAGGCGATCAGTCCTTCAGCCGCACCACTTGATCGCCTTCGGCACTAAGGTCGAGATTATTTTCGATCCCTCTTTTTTACTTTAAGATTCCACCCTATTCTCTGATCACTGTCGTCTCCCTCATTCTCACCATTCACCCCCCGGCAGTTCCTCCTTTCCAAATTGATTTGGGACTTTTGATGCCCGCCATTGTTGCAGTGACAAAACTTTGAAACCTGCAATTACCATCTTCCACACAAAGGATCACCCACCACTAGTACCCATATTCACCCATCCTTCCATCGATTTCAATGCCTCTCTAACTTGTTTTATTGTCCGAATCATAATCCCCATCTTCGGGCTTCGATCACCATGTTGCACGCGGACAATCGCGACTCCCCTTTTTTTTCCTCCCTCTAGACTGACATTGAGTCCAAGGCAGCATCAATGAATCGATTGAGAAAATTTACGGTACAAACTTAGAGCTCGAAGAGAATTGTACTGGCAGATTTGCGGGAGATACAAAGAGGCAAATTTAGTAAATTATTGTCGTACTTTTCGTCTTACGTAATGTGAGAATAAATGTGAATATTAACATATTGGTTGGAGTTATAAAGAGAAACTATTACCCATGGATAACTGTGGATACCCGAAACCCGAACGGCTATGGGCACGGTTTGGATTTTCTACTCGTTTCTCATGTGAGTATGGGTAAAATCCGAACTACTTTGGGTAGGGTAACGGATATACACTATCCGTCCCCGACTCGACCCATTGCCATCCCTAGCCACGTCAGATCCGAAAATCACTCTTAACGTAGAGAATTTTGAATGGGGGTGGCATCTTTATGTTTCCATTATAAATTATACTGTAGATGTGGCATCTACGTGGCAAATGAGGATGGGTTGTCGCTGACGTTTGCGTCAATTTGGTATCCATTAACCTAACTGGCGAAATCTCTAACATCGTTAAAGTTTGTAACGAAGATGGCTAGATTTGTTCAACAACCATCAAAATCCTGACTATTTCATGTATTTCAAAAGTTATGACTATAATTGTCACAAAACGCAAAAGTTGTGACTATTAAAGTGTATTTTGTCAAAAAAGAATGAGCAATTCTATAATGTTTGGAATTTTCTTGGAGTCGCTTGGGGACCCACTTGGTTGAGTTCAAGAGGTTTGAGCCTGCAAGGACTTTTGTGTCTCGTAGAATGGAAGTAGTAGCCGCTCCTAACAAATAACAATATGAAAAAACCAAGAATACTCTTTGTTTTAGTAGTATCATGAACAACATCGATGTATGTATTACTTAACCGCTCCTAAACATACATAATGTCACATGCATATAAGTGAATCAAAAGTGTAAAGAAATTTGTGCTTGTAAAATCCACCGCCGGTGGTCCAATCAGGATAGTCTTCTATCAGAGTCTAAATTGTTAGGTGATTTTTAGCAGTATGAAATTGTTTTGACCAAATTTCAGCATAAATTCATCAAATCCATATATTTAACACAATGTTACGTTCTTTTGCTGCTTTTTTTATTGTGAATTTTCAAAGACGGGTTTAGTGCTACTTTGCACGGTTCGACCAGACCGATGCTCACCCTATCAGTAACTCTACCAACATCATATTGCTGCCAATCACTTTGCTTCATAAGAAATATAGCAAATTGCATCACAAAAGCAAATCAATCAAGCTAGCATTGAAACCAATGGATTTGCACATAACGGGGATGAAGACAGCAACTACCAATTTCATCCATAAGCAATTTAGTGAAATCAAACTATTAACTTTTATACGTTGAATGAAACATCACAGTATTGAAGCAGAATCCACGAAATTGCAGCAACAGAGTATCGTCCATTACAGACACTTCCCCTCCCTCAACAAGATAATGGTTTTCTAATCTAAAGCAAAATTATTGGGAGAGTTCAGCCTCCTTCTGCTACAGCCTGTCTAGGGCACTGTCTAATCCGACCAGGGACGGTTTAAGCCAACCCAAATTACATCAGAACTCACACAAACAAACTATCAAATTAAGCAAGGACCAGCCCAGGAGTTCATATTATCTAACCGACATAAAAGAAGAGCCTCAGTTAAGCAAAGTTATTCCTACAGGAAATGGCCCAATCCAAAGGCATCCATTAAATCAGTGGAAAACAAGGAACACATAAGAGTGCTATATTTAGAGTTGCTCACATTTCAGAGCTATTTTCCGCTATGAATCAAAACCCCAATAACAAACTAATTAAGTGCTTGTAACTGCTCTGGGTCATCAGCTCTCAGCTGGAATCAACAATTACATTGCAACCAAACTTCGCAATAATCTACGTTCCAAAGCTAGATTATCAACCAGAGAGACATTGATTATCTAAGAAGCTAAGAACAGTTCACAGTACTACCTAGCAGTCTAGCACACAAACAAGGAAGCATCAAAGCACTAATGAAGAGCCAGATTACCTAAGCACGGACGAAGCCACACAGAGCAAAAGTGGTGAACTGGCCAGTGTAACAGCAGTTGGCATACTTGAGTTACTAACAAATAAAACGCCCCAAATCTCTCCCCCAATTCAGTTAACGTTCATGCAACGGATTGCATAATGGACGAAAAGGTTCACAAGCTAAATGTTATGCTACACAGTAATGTCTGCATCACCAGTAATCCCCACAGGAACAACTTCCATCCTTGAAATGATGGAAACGGTTGGAATCCCTGACAACAATTTCCCTACCTGTGATATCGGATATACACTTAATCGCACTATGGCAATCTCCACAGACTCGCAAGTTTTTGAAGATCCTAAGGGAGCTTTTGGGTGGAGTGCTGATTATTCCATATGCAATCGCCAACCTCTCACTATGACTCATGAGGATATGCTCCTTCTCATCGTCCTCGACATCCTGCAACACGAAACCAAAGTCGGGAACATAACCCTTGGCCTTTATTTTCTCACACAATTCCTTCAGCTCCTTGTATATTTCATTACACTGTGTATGGGTCTGGTTCCCTGTGTAGAACACATTGACCTTCTTGTCTACTTCAATCGAGCTCCATCCGGGAGTCTTCTTCAACCCCATTCCTCTAGCCAAAGACCTCACATCATTAACTCCTTCCCATTTCCCAGCGTTCGCATACATATTCGACAGTAGAACATAGTACCCAACATTTTCCGAGTCGACTTCGAACAAGCGATCCGAAGCATATTTACCCAGCTCGACATTCCTATGAATCCTGCAAGCACTGATCAAAGCACCCCAGATGGATCCATCAGGCTTCATTGGCATGCTTTTAATAAACTCGAACGCCACGTCCAAGAGACCAGCTCTGCCATACAAATCTACCATGCAACCGTAATGCTTCAAAATAGGCTTAATTCCAAATTTTTCCTGCATCAAACAGAAGCACCACTCCCCATCGCTTACCAGACCTGAATGACTACAAGCTGACAGTAGAGAAACAAATGTCACGTGATCTGGCTTCACTTCTCCATCAAGCATTTCTCGAAAGAATTCAAGAGCTCTCTCGCCATGTCCATGAACTCCGTGACAAGATATTATGGCATTCCAAGGAACAGAGCTTTGCCTAGGCACTTCATAAAATAAAGACACAGCATCATCCAATCTACCACACTTTCCATACAGGTCAACAAGGCATGTTCCAACATAAATATCTGACCACATGGAGTCTTTTATAACCCGAGCATGAATTAGCATCCCCTGCCCCAAGGCACCTAGCTGTGAGTAAGCAGGTAATATGCTAACCCATGTACCTTGGCTTGGGGATATATCTTTCGACTCTTCCATCATATGGAATATATTGCTTGCTTCGTTTGCTAAACCATTCTGAGCATAACCAGTAATTAAACTGTTCCACGTAACCACGTCTTTAATAGGGAGTCCTTCAAAGACAGCTCTTGCGTATTCTGTGGTACCCATTTTGGCATACATGTCCACCACTGCATTTCCAGTAATAACAGCATCGGAAAAATATCCCTTCCTGAGTAAAAATCCATGTAGGGACTTGCCACTCCTGTGATCACTCAATTGAGAAACAATAGAAGCCAAACTAACAAGTGTAAATGCATCAGGTTGGATTCCCAATTGTTGCATATTGTCAAATAGTAAACGAGCATCGATGGGTTCACCATGTTGTTCATATGCAGCAATTATAGAATTCCATGAGACAATATCTTTGATAACCATCTGCTCAAAAACTCTCCTTGCATCACCTAACCTGCCAAATTTTCCATACATGTCGATTAATGCATTGGAGACAAACAAATTGAGCTCCAAGCCATGCTTGACGGCATACAAATGCATCAACTTCCCTCCTACAACATCATTCATCTGTACACATGCAGGAAGAGTACTAGCGACGGTAATAGCATCCATCTTCTCCCCCTCCAATCTCATGGCATCTGCAAGTTCTAATGCATTTGCTGCATTTCCATTCAGGCAATATCCAGAAATCATGGCATTCCATGAACCACTATCTCTGTATGGCATATTGTGAAACAATCTGCAAGCACCTTCCACAACCCCAAACCTTGAATACAAGTGTATTAAGGAAGCAGCCACAAAGACATCCCACTCAAAGCCAAGCTTCAAGATGGAGCAATGAACCTTCATTCCATCAAATAGATTTCTGCAGGCTTTCAGCACTGGAGGGAAGGTATAGAAATCAGGTCGCACACCAGAGGTCAGTAGAAGCTGGTGGAAACAGTCTACCGCTTCATGGAAGTGACCACGTCGAACAAAAGCAGATACCATAGTATTCCACAAATAGACATCCGATCTTGGGCTCTTTTTGAAAATGTCTTCCACAAATGAGATGGGACCAAGCTGTGCATAAAAATTAATGAGTTTCCCATAAAGAAAGCTGCTTTGAGCTTTTCCCGATACCAGCATAAGTGTGTGAATGCACTTAGCATGTTCGAGTTTGGTGCAGGATTTGAATAAACCATCGAGGTCAATCCCACTGTTCCCATATTCAAATCGGTATGGTGGCAAAGAACTTGGAGGTACCGAGAAAAGCTGGCTACAAGTTTTAAATGACTGTTGAATATGCCTTGCTTTGCAGGCTGGCACCAATCTGTGCACCAAAACAAAGGAACATCATTAGTCATCAGCCTATCACCAAAAAGTGTCGGATACAAATATATTGAAAGAAGACCGATCGAAAAGAAGGGGGGGGGGGGGGGGGGGGGGGGGGGGGGGGGGGGGAGGAGAGGCTACTGCACCTAAACATACATATATTTGCGGAAGGAGCAGAAAACGTGATCTAATTCACAGCGAGTAACATCAAACCTCCCAAATCTGCTGCTGGTGGGCGAGAGCAAAGGGAAAGACACCCGGCTTGGACACTGGTTCACTGGCTATTGCAATGCAGGAGCAATGAGACCAGTCACCAGTCTGAAAGGGAAAGGCTTTTCATCAATGTTGTCTGAGCAGAAAAAGAAACCAGTCCGGAATAAGATATTCATGGTCAGAAGTTCAATCAGTGTTTCACCGGTAATAATCAGGGCCAAGAACAGTGACATATTACATGCAGAAATAATATCATGTTTCAGTGGAATACAAATTCTATACCTACCAACCACAGTTCCGCACTTCACCCAGCATTTCATGATCACCGATTCAATATAAAAGCTCCCAGTTTGAAAGATTAAAAAGTCACCAAGTGTATATGGATGAAAATGTTCTTCCAAGGACCTAGAAAGTTTCGAGGGTAGCCGTGAAAGAGAACTTTCGAGCACAAAATATAGCCATCAAAGTGAGCTCAATTGGTTTGTGACCATGAAGGAAACACGCTAATTGGTTCAGTATAGTTAGAAAACTTTTGGGGCTTCTCACTAAGATGAAAAGATCCTTAATTTATCAAATTTTCAAACAGAACAACCCTAGATTGAAGGAAATTTCCTAGAATCCTTGCCAAAATAAAATACCAAAATGAAGAGTTTCACCTTTCAAAGGCCGGAGTGGCGGCAGTTTTCTCTTTCGCGGTCTCGCCTAGGGGAGGATGATTGAAGAATCGGTACCTAATAAACAGTCATCTGTATAAATAGTAGACACTTCTTAATCATGGTAAACCACAAGTAAATTATCGAATCAGTAAAAAAATTGCTAAATGGGACATGGAAATCTCACGGCAGTAACACAAACAAATTTTATGCTTATCCTTCATACTCTCGGCTTGGCTTTAAAACAATTGAATTACTTTACAAATGAAAGAAAGAACCCTCACGCCAACTCTTCCTCTCGCCTACTTCTGTTCATCTACGCATTAAGATACAAACATGAACTTTACAAATGAAAGAATGAATTGGATTACCTAGGCTAATTGGGGAAGAAGTTAATTGCCAATTGGAGAAGGGAGGGCAGCAGCAGAGGCAGCGGGTCGATGCAGGAGAGAGGCAGCAGGGGTCGATGCAGGGGAGACCTCACCGGATTCGCATCCGTTGCGCTCGCCGGCAACAGGAGTCAACGACGATGGCGGCTTGGACGAAGGCTGCGGGGAACGGCGGCGAGTTGTGTTTTGGACGAACGGGGAAGGCGTCGAGATGCGTTTTGGCTGGCGTCGAGATGCGATGGCGACGGCGATGGAACGACGACGGGAACAAACGACGACAGCGCTGGACGAAGGCTACGTTTCCGGTGGGCGACGAAGGCGCTGGACGAATGCTGCGGAGGAGCTGCTTCTCCTTCGTCGTCTGCAACCGAAGAGGGAACGAAATAAAATTAGGGTTCCCTTGGCCTTGAGAGTTCAGACAGCCTCCCGTCCCCTTTCATTTTAATTTTTGATTTTTAGTTTCTGTTTTTTTTTTAATTACATCAACCGGCCCAAATGCTAAAAACCGGGCGAGCGGCTCGAGCGGTTCGAGCGGTTAACCGCTTCGGCCGCTCGCCGACCGCCCCAAATAACCACTCCGGCTAAATAGCTGAGTCGAGCCGGTTTTATGGGCGGTTGGCGGTTTTGGCGGCTCGGCCGGCCGGCTCGGCTCGGCTTTGACAGCACTGGCATATTCGTTATCCTACCCAAAGTAGTTCGAGTTTTACTCATACTCATACCCACACCCACATATGAAACGGGTAGAAAATTAAAACCATGCACATACTCGTTCGGGTTTCGGGTATCCACGGTTATCCATGGGTAATGATTTCTCTTCATAACTCCAACTAATATATTAACATTCACACGTATTCTCACATTACGCAAGAGGAAAAGTATGACAATAATTCACTAGAATGAAGAAAATTAATTAAAACAACACAATTTCATGAACATATTATATTTATATGCTAAATATAAAATATGTTAGAGAAAAATAATGACTATTTCTAGACAAAATACATATGTATGTGTATAATCGGGCGGGTTCGGGTTGGATACTGAGAAACCCATGCCCACCCATTACCCGCAATATTCGGGTTCGAATTTTACCCGTACCCACTAAATGTCCTTCGAATTCGGGTTTTACCCTACCCGATTAGGCCGGGTTCGGGCGAATATCCACGGTTACGGATATTTTTGCCATCCCTAGATTGAATTCCCGATACCGAAACGATTCAGGATTCACAGCAGACGGACAGAAGAAGTTGCGGTAGGGTTTTGACTTTTGAGTTTGACTGACGAATGCGCCTTACTATTTGGGCTTTTTCTATACTTTGACCATAAAGCTAGTCCAGGCTTTCAGCCCGGCCCAGAAAATATGAGATTGCCCCTGAATTCGAACTGGAAAACCGAGAAATTAAACAAACGAAAAACAAGCGTGGGGAGGAAATGGAGCAACTAGCGCGCTTTCCCTTCTCCTTCCCGCCCAGCAATCTCTCCGCGGCGGCTCTGAGATTGGCGGGGAGATACGGTGACCGGGCGACGGAGCAATGGAGTTCAGTCTTAGCGGGAACGGTTTGAAGACATTTGCTCGGTGCATCACATGTCTAGCTCGTATCGGCAACGAGCTCGCCGTTCAAGCTGCTTCTTCTCAGGTTAAACTCTCTTCCAAGCTACCTTCTCAATTTCGAGCTCTAATGAAATTTTCGCTGCTCTCGCTGGCGGAGCTCTGTTTCCATTCACGAGTAAGTGGGGTGAAGAAATGATTGATTGGAGTCGAACGATTCCGCTTCTGGATTTGTTTGGTTGCCGATAAACCGAGCGGGAGTTGGCGTTTGGAGTTTACTCTTCGTTTCGATTTTTGCTTTTCTTCTCGCGGATTACTGGTTTGCGTTTACGTTTTTTCGGCTGGAATTTCACACTCTCAACTCGTCGAGATCTGCATATCAGTCTATTACGTTCAAGCCGGACTTCTTCAATGTTTACACGATATTCGGCGCCCAGGTCAAATTCAGCGTGCTTGTCAAGGTATTGGTAGTAAATTCATTGCTGTTTGGTTCCAGAGAAAGGATGAAGGATCTGTATCAGTACTTGAAAGGCGCTGATTCTTGTTATTCCACAAATTCAGGCCGTTTCTGCCATCCTTAGGACACCTATTCAAAGCATTGATCATCTAAGAGTTCAATTGCCCGATCCTGATGCCTCCAAAGCGCAATGGACCTTGGAATGCAATAACGTTACAAATGTCCTTATCAAAGAGTATCGTATTGTTAGAAACAAAGTTTCTAACGGGATTCGTATTGGGTGATATTTGGGAATTTAGGGATTGAGAAGATAGAATTAGGGATTTGGAAGAAGAATTGGGGAAGAATAGAAAGAATGGTCGGCGGCCGGATTAGGGAAAGAACAGAAATTGAGAGGATTTGGGAGAGAATAGGGTTTAGGGATTTTCTCAATATGCTTCTCATTGATTCTGAATGGAAGCCCAAAGTACATATATATAGGAAATAGTGGAAAACCCTAACAATAAACCTAATCCTATTAAATGACTACTAACCTTAATAAGACTTACTCTAATAATAATTAAAATAATAAATATAGAAACCCTAGATAAATCGGTTTCTAACATCTCCTCCCCCTTCAGACCAACCTTGCCCTCAAGGTTGATCGACTCGACCCATTTCTTCACATCTCCCGCGCAATCCGCGTTTTGTCTTCTCTACTCCTTGCGCTTTCTTTTCTTCCAATCACGCTCTAACTCTTCACTTAGACTTCTTGCACCGACATGCTTGTGTTGATCCCACTCTTCGAATTTCACTTCCATGGACCCATGATTTGCTTCCTTGTCCGAGAAGCCGTCTTTATGCACCAATCCAGCAAGATCCTCGAACTTAAACAATTCTGCGGTTATCGCCCTCCAGAGACTCAAGAGACTTAAGGATTCGTTCTTGTTCAAGAACCCATCCTTGAGTACCATTTGATCAAGGCCTTCATACATTTTTCTTGGGGCAAGCTCATAACTCTGATTTGTTCTTCTTCCCTTAATTTTGAACCTTGCCGCCTTGAAAACCCACAAGATTCAATTTCCTCCTTCATTTCCTCAAAGCCCGCCATCAAGCCACAGTCCAGGCTTGGCCCACAATCTCTCAACCCTTCTTCTCCTCTGGAGGGGCCCAAATAATATATCTAGCAACTAGTTCACCCAGTCCGTACCCTGATTTTGAAACGGCCTGCTTCTTTATCACCCGCAGCCCGCTCTGCGAAACTAGTCGGCCCGATGCAAACTCACTGGGCTTCTCCCTCAAGGCCCGCCCACTCTGTTCATCGGCCCTCGCATCCCACGCAGCCCAGCTGTCCCAGGCCACGGGAGCGGCCTTAGGGTTTGTGAGATGGAGAGCGCCAGTTCCCTTTCTCAAGGTCTCGTTCGCCGCTAGCTCCCACGGCACGTCAAGGCTTCTCCGTCTCGTCCATCACCGGCGAGCATCTGGCCGGATGGTTTGGAGGGCAGCCCCAGTCCGGCACCCTTTGTCTTCTCTCTGTCCGTCGGCGAGGGAGGAAACTTATCGCCGCCTTCCTCCTCCTTCTTCTCTTTCCACAGCGAGTGGAGGATTCCGCCGCCGACTTTACTCGTCTGCTCTTTCAGCGCCGAGCTCTCCTCCTGTAGCGCGCCATTCTTCGGGCGACGGAGATCTATGCCGATGACCTCCTCTTTCGCCTCTGTCGTCGGTCTCGTCATCGACGGCCAACTGATCTTCCCGCAATCGAGATGAGAGCTCGATCCGACGATCCAAACCTTCAGCCTCGCCACTCTGTCTGCCAATGAATTGCAGGAGGGAGTGAATCCGCCGCCCACCCTCCGGTTCCTCCCCAATTTCCTCGCCTCTTTCTCGATTGGCGACGTCAAGAACGGCTGCAGCTGCTCACTTCGCGGCTTTTTCTTGAACTTCCAGTTGACCACGCCTAGCTTTCGGCCTGATCGCTTCTTGTCCTCACGAGATATGCACCTCACTGATGTGGTTAGATTCTCCTAATAAATGTTACACCATAAGTTGTTAATCACCCGCTACTGACGACCTGAATTGAGTGTTGCTATTTGAGTTTTTGATGGATTTCAGTCAGTCAATGGTTAAGGGTTGCAAAACCTTGAGTGTGGGGTGAAAGGTATGACCATTAGAGCACAACTTGTCCGTTGAGAAAGAAACTACTGATTACAACAAGAGTACAAGGAAATTTGGTGTTTTGCTTTGAGTGTTGAGTCTGTAATGTGTCATTGTTAAGGTTGGTTATGTGTTTGTGTTGTTTGAGTCGTTGCTTAGGGACAAGCAACAATTGAGTGTGGGGTTGTGATATTCGGCTTTAATATATCGGATTCTTGGACTTTATGTGATTATCCGTGGTATGTTTTAGCCAATTGGTGCTATTTTAGGGCTCGCTAACTCGAAAATGGTTGAAAAACCATTACTGCCTAGTGCCATGAGTTTGATATGTTACAGGTGGAGAAAGCACGAAAAAAAGTGATTGTCTCAGGAAGAATTAATTTGGGCCGGGGTAATTTCCATGGTTGGTGGCGGAAACAATTGCAGGGCGGAAGGCAGAAGGCCTTTGGGCCAGAAAATTCTATTGGGCCAAGAAATTCCGGACGGGGGAAGCAGATTCTTCTCCAGGCGGGACTATTTGGGGACGGAACTTTTGTGGGGGAGGAATTAAAAAAAAAAGAAGTCTCGGGCAGCAGGGAATGAGTGTGGGCTGAAATATATTTGCCAGGGGAGCAATTAAAACCTGGGGGAAAGAAAAAAGAGGCGCAGCGGAGGGAAATAAAAAGGGAGCTGGCGGAAAATTCATTCTTTTGGGGGGCGAAAGAATAGAAAGGCAGCAGAGAAACAGCAGTCGATTGAGATTTCCAAGGCTACCTGAGCTGAGTTCAACGAGAGCGATTAGTTGGTTGGATTCTCTGAACCAAATTAGTTGTTATTTGTTGATTTAGACATGATGAACAAAACCCTATTGTTTTATCTTAATTTCGTCATGAACTAAACCCCAATTTCTGGGGGAAACACCGTAGGATGTAGCTATTTCTTGATTTGATGGATTGATTTATGATTCTTTTCTTCCAATCTCTATTGCATGAAATTTCTTAATGCTTTGTGTTGACTGGCCACCAATACAATGAATTGTAGTTAATTAGGTTATTATCGACAGTGAAACCCTAATAACTGAACCTATTTCATGTGACATAGTAACTTATCGAAGCGACAGTGGATTAAATAAGGTGCTATGCGGTGTTAAATAGGATATCGATCTTCAGACTATATAGTTAATTCATTGAGCTACGACAGTAGGATTTGAATTGATTATTTAGTACGTAGTAATTCCCGACATGGATAGCTAGCACATTCCTGATATCCTGGCTGTAGAGGTATGGATTAAATTGATTGGAATATGTGAATTAATCTGGATAGGATAGGTAGTGAATCCCGGTGTTTCTCCCAGAGCTTTCTCCATTGAATTTCTCTCGACCAATTTACTTTGATTAATTAGTTAATTTTGATTTTAGATAATTAGTCTCATTAAACCATTTTCACCTATAGTTTGCTCTACAAAATTGATAGAACTTAAGGTTGTACCAGTCCCTGAGAGACGATACCCGGACTTTCCGGATTACTACAAGATAGGAAATTGACAAATACTCTTTTTCCCTATCAAGTTTTTGGCGCCGTTGCCGGGGACTGCCATACCTTGTTTTTATTGATTTTTGTGAGTGAACTATTTTGATCTGGGTGTTAGTGTGTAGAAGAATTTTTCAGGTGTATCCTCCTTGTGCATGCCAAGGAGGACGACCGACAATTTACTGCCACTTGATCCAGAAATAGAGAGGACCTGCCGACAGAACAGGAAGCAGGTCAAGTTAGGGAAGCAGCCTACCACATCCACAACTCCTAGGCCTTCCCTAACCCAGAATCGTCAACAGAGAGGGCAGGCTTCATCACCTATCTTCCCTACACCACCACCTCGCATTATCGAGCCTGTCATCATGGCAGAACAGGATCGTTCGATCAGGACTCGTCTGAATCGGAGGACTGGAGCCCGAGCTTCATGTGTTGTCATTCCGGCTGGGGATGCAAACATGGAGATTGCCCCAGCCTTCATCAATATGATCACTAATGGGTACACCTTCTCAGGGGCCAGCACCGAGGATCCTCATGAACATCTTCGCCGGTTTGCAAGCATTTGTGACACAATGAAGAGCCCGGCTGTGTCTGATGATGCCATCCGTCTTCGGATGTTCTCATTCTCTCTGCTAGGGAATGCATCACACTGGTTCCAAAACTTGACACCCCGTTCCATCACGACATGGGGTCAGCTTGAGAAGGTATTTCTGGATAAATACTTCCCACCTGCCTTGGCAATGAAGAGGCAAGAAGAGATTGTTACTTTTAAGCAGGCTGATGATGAGAGTCTGACTGAGGCATGGGAGCGCTATAAGGGGCTATTGATGAGATGCCCAAGCCACGGTCTTGAAGATTGGAACGTGATCATTATTTTCTTCAATGGAATCATAAGGGAGTTTCGGGATGCCCTGAATAATGCTTCTCGAAATGGTTTCACAAGCATGGAGGCACCAGCAGCATATGATCTGGTAGAGAAGATCTGTTCAGAAGCCACTGAATGGGGTAGTGAGACCAGTATTCGAAGAAGAGGAGGCTTGCATGAGATAAACAGAGTTGCAAGTCTAGAAGCCAAGATAGATGCCAAGCTGGATTCTAAGTTCGATGCACTCGAACGAAGGTTGGCCAAGATTGCTTTGGGTAAACAAGAGGAGGTTGCTTCATCTGAACTTTGCGAGGGTCCTCATCATAGGGATATGTGTCCGCTAGGAGCTGCTCAGTTGGAAGATGTTCAGTATATCAATAATCTGCGAAGTCAAGGTCAGGGTGGTATGTATTCAAATACATATAACCCTCAATGGAGACATCACCCCAATATGTCATGGTCAAACAATAATCCAGCTGGTGTTCGAAACATCCCACCTCCTGGTTTTCAACAGCAGCAGCCTCAACCAGAGAAGAAGCCCCAGCTGGAGGAGTTGATTTTGGCTCATATGCAGAAAACGGACAATAATTTCAAGGGCCTGGATCAATTTGTCACTCAACAGCTAGCCATCAACAATAATTTACAATCGTCTATGCTAGCTATGGAGACGCAGATGGGACAGATGGCTCAAACTTTGGGAGATATGCAAGGCAGGATTCCTGGGACATTACCAGCAAATACTGAGAGGAATCCGAAGGATGCCATGGTTCTAGCAGTGACATTGAGGAGTGGAAAGGTCTTGGAAGACCCTAGCAGCTCGAAAAAGGCACCAGAGGCAGAAGAGGAAGCACCGGGAGAAAGATCTTGTGCAGAAAATGAAGAATCAGCCTTGCACAGGCAAAATGAAAGCAGTTTGCCTGTGCAAAAGCATGCTGCCCGTGTAAAACCAACAGGGGAAAATGCGAAGATGGAGGAGCTAAAACCTTATGACCCACCCACACCATTCCCTCAGAGGTTAATGAAGCCCATGGAAGACCCAAACTTCAAGAAATTTGTGAATATCTTCAAGCAACTTCAGATTAACATACCCTTGGCGGAGGCACTTGAACAGATGCCTACATATGCTAAATTCTTAAAGGAGTTGCTGACAAAGAAGCGTAAATGGGCTGATCTAAAGAAGGTAACCCTTACTTCTGAATGTAGTGCTGTGATTCAGAATAAATTACCAGAAAAGAGGGATGATCCGGGAAGCTTCACCATTCCATGTGTCATTGGAGGTACAGAATTCAATAAATCACTTTGTGATCTTGGAGCAGGAATTAATTTGATGCCATACTCAGTCTACAAGAAATTGGGATTGGGAGATGTTCTTAAACCTACTCGGATCACTCTCCAATTGGCAGATCGATCAGTGAAAATTCCAAAAGAAGTGGTGGAGAATGTATTGGTGAAGGTGGGGAAGTTTATTCTTCCTACAGATTTTGTAATTCTGGAGATGGAAAAAGATCGGGGAGTGCCTCTCATTCTTGGGAGACCTTTTCTAGCAACTGGAGATGCACTCATCGATGTTGGGAGAGGCAAGTTTACATTCCGAGTAGGTAAGGAGGAGGAAATTTTTAATGTCTTTCAAGTTGATCATAATCATGATGCATTTGATGACTTTGAAAGTGGAGCTCGAGAAAGGAAAAATTCCTCTTCCTGTGATAGTGGATCAGCTGAAGTATCACATGTCCTAGCAGCTCAAAGTCTGAAATCAAAGCAAGGGCAGAAATCCTTGCCAGGGCACCTCAAGTATAGATATTTGGGTAAGGATTTCAATCTCCCTGTTATTATTCCTTCTTCACTGACATTGAAACAGGAAGAGTACCTGCTTGAGGCGCTGCAGTACCACCTACGCCTCACTAAAGGGTCTAACATGCCAGCTAAGAAGGTCATACCCAATTTTCGCACACCTGGCCCTGCTGAGGTGACTCATATGTTGGATGGAGGTTATGCGTTCTATCATTGCTCGGGAGGGTATGCTGGATACCTTTCCATACCCACTGGTTGAAAGCTCCATAAATGTCAGGCTGAGGACGTTAAACAAGCGCTTCTTGGGAGGCAACCCAAGGTAAGTTTTCTTTTCTTTATTTTTCTTTTTCGTTGTGTCAAACCGTACATGTTTAGATTAGGAGTTGAACATTAGGGACAATGTTCCATCCTGAGTGTGGGGTGGCGAGTCTTAGTGTTTGTTTGTTCCTTGTGTCATGTGGTCGGTAAAAACAAAAAACAAAAAAAAAATTCTGCCATTTGGCTATGCACAGCCAAACTGCATGCAGTTTGCCTGTGTAAAAAGCATGCTGCCTGTGCAAAGCTAATGGCTAAAAAACACCTAAAATCAGAAAAATTTAAAACAAAACCTTGTACTCTTGTGGTAACATGATGTAAATGACCGTGATGCCTTGAAAATGAGTTTGTGCTTGAATAAAATCATCGAAATCACTCCACTAGTGTTGAATTGCATAGTTCTTCACAATGAGCTTGAATGTTTTGACTGACTTGATATGCTTTGAATGAGCAAACTCTTTTAGCAACATTCTCTTTTGTGAGCATAGTGTAACGACTTTTGGTGAAGTAGTTAGGTGGAGAACATTGACCATTCGACATGTTTGGATACCGTGCTTACTTGCATCAATTGTGAGCTTTTGATTTTGCAACGAGTCTCTCTGTTTTGATGGTTTTATGATGGGGTGAACTGTATCTTCATAAAAGAAAACACTATATGACAAGTAAAAGATAAGAAAGTTGCCATAACAATTAAAGTGTGGGTAAAAATGCCAAAATCGTGTGAGGCAATCACTCATTGCACATAGGGATGAGGAAAGATTCAATTGAGAATCGGTTCGCGACCGTACGATGTTGCTTAACAAGTACGATCCCCAGTTGAGTGAAGTGCCATTTGAGGATGCAATGACCCTCCACACAGACCGAGGATAAGGAGTTAAAAGAAGCCCTTATGGGAGTGCTAAGAAGCAGAATTTGCTCTTGCTCGGTCACCGGTAGTAAGAAACAAATCCTACTTGTACTAAATACGACCTCTCGGCAAGCAAAAGCAGAAAGAGAGAAAGCCTCTCCTTGTCATAAAAGGTAGTGATGTGCTTAAAGTAAAATCATGTTTGCGAAAGGCTTCCCCCATTAGTTTTTGAGACTCATGCTTTGTTAATTGCTTAAGATTGGTGTGAGTAAGCCAGATTGTCCTCACGAGATATGCACCTCACTGATGTGGTTAGATTCTCCTAATAAATGTTACACCATATGTTGTTAATCACCCGCTACTGACGACCTGAATTGAGTGTTGCTATTTGAGTTTTTGATGGATTTGAGTCAGTCAATGGTTAAGGGTTGCAAAGACCTTGAGTGTGGGGTGAAAGGTATGACCATTAGAGCACAACTTGTCCGTTGAGAAAGAAACTACTGATTACAACAAGAGTACAAGGAAATTTGGTTCTTTGCTTTGAGTGTTGAGTCTGTAATGTGTCATTGTTAAGGTTGGTTATGTGTTTGTGTTGTTTGAGTCGTTGCTTAGGGACAAGCAACAATTGAGTGTGGGGTTGTGATATTCGGCTTTAATATATCGGATTCTTGGACTTTATGTGATTATCCGTGGTATGTTTTAGCCAATTGGTGCTATTTTAGGGCTCGCTAACTCGGAAATGATTGAAAAACCATTACTGCCTAGTGCCATGAGTTTGATATGTTACAGGTGGAGAAAGCACGAAAAAAAAGTGATTGTCTCAGGAAGAATTAATTTGGGCCGGGGTAATTTCCATGGTTGGTGGCGGAAACAATTGCAGGGCGGAAGGCAGAAGGCCTTTGGGCCAGAAAATTCTATTGGGCCAAGAAATTCCGGACGGGGGAAGCAGATTCTTCTCCAGGCGGGACTATTTGGGGACGGAACTTTTGTGGGGGAGGAATTATAAAAAAAAAAAGTCTCGGGCAGGAGGGAATGAGTGTGGGCTGAAATATATTTGCCAGGGGAGCAATTAAAACCTAGGGGAAAGAAAAAAGAGGCGCAGCGGAGGGAAATAAAAAGGGAGCTGGCGGAAAATTCATTCTTTTGGGGGGCGAAAGAATAGAAAGGCAGCAGAGAAATAGCAGTCGATTGAGATTTCCAAGGCTACCTGAGCTGAGTTCAACGAGAGCGATTAGTTGGTTGGATTCTCTGAACCAAATTAGTTGTTATTTGTTGATTTAGACATGATGAACAAAACCCTATTGTTTTATCTTAATTTCGTCATGAACTAAACCCCAATTTCTGGGGGAAACACCGTAGGATGTAGCTATTTCTTGATTTGATGGATTGATTTATGATTCTTTTCTTCCAATCTCTATTGCATGAAATTTCTTAATGCTTTGTGTTGACTGGCCACCAATACAATGAATTGTAGTTAATTAGGTTATTAGCGACAGTGAAACCCTAATAACTGAACCTATTTCATGTGACATAGTAACTTATCGAAGCGACAGTGGATTAAATAAGGTGCTATGCGGTCTTAAATAGGATATCGATCTTCAGACTATATAGCTAATTCATTGAGCTACGACAGTAGGATTTAAATTGATTATTTAGTACATAGTAATTCCCGACATGGATAGCTAGCACATTCGTGATATCCTGGCTGTAGATGTATGGATTAAATTGATTGGAATATGTGAATTAATCTGGATAGGATAGGTAGTGAATCCCGGTGTTTCTCCCAGAGCTTTCTCCATTGAATTTCTCTCGACCAATTTACTTTGATTAATTAGTTAATTTTGATTTTAGATAATTAGTCTCATTAAACCATTTTCACCTATAGTTTGCTCTACAAAATTGATAGAACTTAAGGTTGTACCAGTCCCTGAGAGACGATACCCGGACTTTCCGGATTACTACAAGATAGGAAATTGGCATATACGCTTTTGCCCTATCACACCAACAACAATAGTTAGACATGTTGTTTTCGCGTGTGAGATTTGGCTTCTGAAAATCAGATTAGCTCTCCTGTGCTCGCTATGTGCTACGTTTTCTGTTGGAATATTTCTTTGACTAGGCTCCTTGAAGGTGTCAACCATATTCATAGTTGATATTGTGCAGGTATGAGAAAGGGCTATTCAATTACTTGCAATATCAAGCCCGACATACAACATCTGACTCTTGATAGGAATGGATTTACAAGCAACTTTATAGTCAGGCCGCGCGATCTAAACATACTGCTAGCAAATTTTCAGTCATCACTTCAAGAGATAACGATCATTGCAACATAAATTACTTCTTCTCCTGCTGATGCTGCTAGTGAAATAGGAGGGAAAACTGTTGAACTCAGAAGTTATATCGATCCAACAAAAGGTTAGCTAGTTTCTTGTGAGTTTATTAATTACTTGAATGGAGCATAGCTGACTGCAGTTCTGTTTACTGTAGACAATGACTCTTCGCTGCACACTCAATTATGGATTGATCCTGCAGAAGAATTTGTCCTCTACAATCATGTTGGAGACCCTGTTGATATTACATTCGGAGTGAAGGAACTGAAGGTGGGATAAGCTAGTATCCTGAGCGGCATTGTTTGTCATATTCATGCATTTTGCAAGATCTTGATCTCATGCTTCTGTTGTTTGGGATCAGTAGTGCAGCAGCTTCTCTGTTTTGTCTCAAATAAAGACTGATAAATAATCAATTTTTGGGACTTGCATGCATTTGTTTCATTTTGTGAGAGCTGTGAAGTCGATATACATTTATATTTTGAAAAGGCTGGAGAGTAAGTGTTTTGTTTCTCCCTCATCCCACATAGCCACATATTGCTATCTGACTGCATTTTCTGAGTCAGTTTATCTACTTTCACTGCAACTCATCTTCTGACTTACCCTGTTCAACATCCATTTCAACCCATCTTTTATCTTTGTAATTGGTTAAGGTTATTCTGATTACAGGTAAAATTGTCATAAAGAACTACTAGCTGATGAAATAACTTCCTATATTTGGGTCAATGTCAGCAGAGCAGTGCATCGACTATGTCCAACATGTATTAAATTTGTTGGCTTTCTAGCACTGTATACCTAAAGGTTCATTTCAATTTGACCAAGGACCATTAGTTGCCAGGGAGAGTAATTGAAAGAAAAACTGATGAAGGGTTCTGTTATAGAAGACCAAGACAAGTCTGATTACTGCTGTTTTTTTTTTTTTTTTGCAATTATTGGTAGTGCGTAGAACAAAATTCTTATATTGTTTTTCGCGTCATTGTCTCATTCATCATGTGCAATGTCAAAGTCAGGATTGCATAATGCTTCTTTACCTATATATGTATTATTAGTGTATCTAACTATGAAAATGTGTTCAACAGGCCCATTTTAATGGCACCAAAAATTGGTCTTTCTGATTCATCTGGTTCAAACTTCGACGCAACACTTGTTCTTGCAACCATGCTCATATCGCAGTTCGTGATGAAAATGCCTCTGAGGAACCACAACAGGCCACCTCTATACCAGCTCAAGCTGTAATCCACAAAGAGCCTCAAGCACAGCCAGAGAGTAGTCATAGAGCAACAGCTTCTGAGCATCCATCTGATAACACCAAATTTTGGTCTGATCTTTCAGGTAAATTACTCAGTTCCAGTGATGATGACATACAGCAATGTATCCAAGATTGAGTGCTTTGACTTGATACAGGTAGTGCAGCAAGAAGTGGTAATGCTGCAGAAGACGTAAATTTAAATGCCACAGACCACAGGCAAATTCAGAGGCTTGGCACACTTCATATATCAGAAAATTTACATGCAGGAGTTCTTGCTGCTTCGAGGTAGTGTTACAATTTATCTGTTTATTTCAACTAGTAAAGATGCAGTAGTTAGTCTTTCCAATGCTGGGGCAGTTGGTAACGATTTTACAGAAGTGATTGGGGAAGGAAGCTCAGAAAATTCTGAGTCTCCTCTTTTCTTTTATAGCAAGCAAAGTGTTTAACAGAGACAAGACAGGTGTCACTCTATGGTTCGACAAAACATTTAAACAAACAGTACTTATAAAGGCTAATAACAAATAAAGGAAACGATGCCGTCTTCGATTCTTTCTTCCTGCGTCTTTATCAAAACGCAGTCGTCTCTTCTTCTTTCTCTTCAGCTCGTATACGATGCCATTTTCTTCCTTTGTTTACTTCAGTCTTGTAATCCTGCTGCAACCAGGAATGCAGCAGCTCAACTCACTTCTTCTCCTTTGGAGCTTGGTCTTGATCACAACTCTGACATCCCCCCTCAAGTTGGTGGTGTCAACTTGATCCCAACTTGACTAGCATTTCCTTCAGCCTGAAACGATCAAGACCCTTAGTAAAAATGTCTGCCAACTATTCTGTGGTGTTAATGTGCTGCAACTTGATCAGTCCTGTCTTCAGCCTTTCGCTTGTCACATGCATATCGATTTCAATATGCTTAGTCCTCTCATGGAATACAGGATTCTCTGCTATGTGAATTGCAGACCTGTTATCACAGTAAACAGTTATAGGTAAAGGAACTTGAACTGACAATTCTGTCAATAACTTCTTCAGCCACTCCACTTCACAAACCAGGTGAGCTAAGGCTCTATATTCTGCTTCAGATGATGACCTGGAAACTGTTGTTTGTTTCTTGGTTTTCCAGGTAATCAAAGAAGTCCCAAGCATGGTACAGTAGCCTGTAATGGATCTCCTTGTATCAGGGCAACTTGCCCAGTCAGAATCACAATAACCTGTCAATCTTAGCTCAGCCTCACTGTCAAAATGTATGCCTTGGTCTGGAGAAGATTTCAAGTATCTCAGTACCCTATAGGCAGCTTGCATATGCTCCTGACATGGAGCTTTCTGATATTGGCATAGCTGTTGAACAGCAAATGCAATATCTGGTCTTGTTATGGTTAAGTAATGTAACCTTCCTACCAACCTTCTGTAACCTTCTGCATCCTCCAGCATAGTTCCCTTTGATGTCAATTTCACCTTGTTATCAACTGGTGCCTTGCATCCTTTAGATTCCATGTACCCTGTATCTTTCAACAATTCCAAACAATACTTCCTTTGGCAAACATCTAGACCACTTGAAGTTCTACTGACTTCTAACCCCATAAAGTATTTGAGTGGTCCTAGTAACTTAATTTTAAACTCCTTACTCAGAGCAAGCTTTACCTGCTCAATGTCTTTTCTGGAATCTCCCCCCAGGATAATATCATCCACATAAACCAACAACACAGTTATCTTACCATGTGTCCACTTAGTGAAAAGTGAGTAATCTGAAGCTGACTGTGCAAAACCAAACTTCAACAGAAAACTTGTCAGCTTGGCAAACCATTGCCTAGATGCTTGCTTAAGTCCATAAAGTGACTTTTTCAACCTGCAAGTCATCCTTTGATTAGTTCCTGAAGGCACTTCTAACCCCAGAGGCAGTTTCATGTACACTACTTCATCTAGATCTCCATGCAGAAATGCATTGGATACATCTAACTGCTCCAAAATCCAATGCTTGACACTTGCAACTACCAGGAAGGTCTTCACTGCGTTAATCTTTGCTATTGGGGAATAAGTGTCTAGGAAGTCAACTCCATAGACTTGGGTGTATCCCTTAGCAACTAACCTGGCCTTGTTCCTTTCCAAAGAACCATCTGCATGTAGCTTGATCTTATACACCCATTTGTTTCCAATTTCTTTCACACCTGCAGGCAATGGTACTATATCCCAAGTCTGATTCTCTTCCAGAGCATTCATTTCTTCTTTCATTGCTCTATTCCACACATCTGACTTGATAGCCTCATAATAAGATCTTGGTTCAATAAGATTTATGATACTGAAAGCATACTTTTGATCTTCTTTAGTCGGTAGGTGAACATTCAAACAGACAGGATATTTACTGCATGATTGGCTACTTCCAAAGGCTCCAAATTTCAGTGTAGGATCTAGATGGTAATCTTTGTATTTGGCTGGCAGGGTAGGGTGTCTTGAAGA